GTGGGGCCCGAGCTGATGGGGTCGGAGGATCGCGCCCCAATGCCGATGCATCGGCGATGCGGCTCGAGGCGGAGCCCGATTTCCTCCACGCCGACGTCGCCGATGCATCATCCACGTCGACGATGCATCGGCGATGCGGCGCGATCTTCCGACTCGATCTCCTCCGACCCCATCTAGGAGGCCTCTAGTTGTTCAGAAGAGCAGGCAGTGAAGAGGATGCCCGCGCGCCCCACAAAGGTCCGTGATCGGAACCATTGCTCAGCGCATGGTTGAGCCAGCAGGGGTTGTTCAGTTCGAGTACGGGAGCGAATTGGTACCGGCATGGGTGCATCAGAAAGCGCAAGCGCGCCTGAAACCGAACGCTTCTTAGTGAGCACGTTTGAGTGAGTGTGAGTATGGGGGGGAGCATGCGGGAGTGAGGGTGATGTGTGCGCGCCCTTCTAGTAACAAGAGCCGTTTGATCATGGCATGAGGAGCACAATGGAGGAAGGAGGAGGAGAAAACTTCCAGGGAAGGCGGCGGGGAATTAATAGAGAGGAAATGAGGAGAGCAGGATGAGGCAGAGGAGGGGACGGAGGAGGAAGTGGATATAGAGATACGACGTGAAGGATGCGAAGGAGGAAGACGATGCCATTTCCCAAACGGCGATCGCACTTTGGGGCTTCTTCTTACTCGGTGGATGAGCAAGTCGCTGGGCGTGTCGAACTCTCCTCTGGCGCCTGCCTGGTGGCTGCGCGTGGGCGCCTCGCGGAGGCCTCGTGCGGTGGCCGGGCGCGCCGAGCCTTTCGCTCCGCGCCCGCCGGTGGCCGCCCCGCGCGCCGCCTCCGGCGCCGCCTCGTGCGCCGGGGCGGGCGTGCCGAGGCTTCCCCGCCCGCCCGTGGCCGAGGTGTTCCGCCGGGGGGCGGGGCGCCGAGCAGTCGCGCCGTGCCCGCACGTGGCCGCCAACGCGGGCGCCTTGTGCGCTGGGCGGCCGCACAGCTTGCACCACATGGCCTGCACCATTATCACATATACATATATATGTATTTATGTATACATACATACATACATACGTACGTACGTACATACATACATACATACATACATACATACATGTATACATACATGCATGCATGCACGCATGCATGCATGCATACATACATACATTCATACATACATACATACACACACATACGTACATACATACATACATACATACATACACACATGCATACACACATGCATGCATGAATGCATGCATGTGTGTATGTATGCCTACATACATACACATACATATATATATATATATATATATATACCTACACACATGCATACATACATACATATATACATACAAACCAACAAACAAACAAACATACATACACACATACATACATACATGCATACA